CAGTTTGGTTTCTTCTCTTTTGAAGGACCTGTGGAAAGCCTTAAATAGTTGTATTGTATTAGCTAGTCACATTGCCTAAGTTAATTTAAGGAAAAAATCTTATCTCCCAAGGTGTAATTGGGCTTGGAGAATAAGCAGGGAGAGAGGAAAATACTCTTTTCTTTTCCCTTTTGTGGCCTGTTAAAAGCTTATTCATTCTGCCTGCTCAAAACATTTACCTGCTATATTCCTTACATTCTCTAAAAGTCCTTTTGGCACTTGTTTAATATATTCAGTGTTTACCCCAGAGGTATATGCATTGTTTTCTTTTTGAAGTATTTTATGGTATGGAGACCTTTGGGATTAGAAGAATTAGCTTTGGGAGAGAGAATCAGAGAAAGGATCACACAGCACTTATTTTCCTATCTGCAATTTGAATTAGAGCCACAGTTTTGGTGTTCAGGAATCCTGGCAGTTCCTGGGACTTGAGTCTTCCTTCCTGGTCTGGTAGGGTGTTATGTTTGGATGCAGCCCAGACTGGAGTTTGCCAGAGCCAAGATGAGAAAAAGGAATTACTCTCATAACTCTCTCAGTTCCTGTAAGGCATGTCAGCCACCTACAGGTCCCTGCAGCTATTCTGTGAGGTTTGGGTCATGTAGTTAATCTTTATTTAAGGAGCAAAAGAAAGTGGCTGACTGGGGAACTGAATGTGAAATTATAGTGTTCTCCGTCATGTTAAGAGTATTAAAAATCAAGACACACCATTCTATTTCTCCATTCCTTCCTTCCCACTTCAAGGCCAGAGTATTTAATGGGAGTTAGAATGGAAAGATGCTGATACTTAGTGTTTACTTGTCATCTCCTTAGTAGCTAGAAGGAGGTTTTGTCTTTCAGTCTCTGCTCTTGTTAGAGATGTTTCTTTTCTTTAGACTAACCATGTTGAGCAGTACCAGGAGATTTTTTAGATTATTTTTTTTTAGTAGCTCGTGCCCAAATGTTTCAAAATCAAACACAAGTAATCACAACATTTCTCTTTACTTGGAACCATAACATTTTTTTGACAAGAAGTGCCTTTAAAGAAATGCCTCTTAATTTATGGTGGGTTGCTTTGTACTTTGTTTCTGTACCCTATCACATTACATTTCCTGTGTGTTGAGTATGTATGTATTATGAGCTCTTAAATATCACAGAAGAAAGGAATTCAGTAAATGAATAAAACATTCTTGGGTAGCCCAAGTGGCAGTTTTAATAGCTCATCCATTGGGACTTTCAAATAATATAATGATGATGCCCATATAAATATATGGATAGATGAACGACATCAATGAGGAGCTTGTTAGAACTCTGCATAGTACATCTGAAATGAAATAAAACTCTGAAAGTGCTGCTTGATGTGAAGGTTCAGTTTTTCCAGTGCCAACCCTGAAATTACGCCTAAAATTACACAAATTGTGTGTTTGTGTGTACATATATATACAGAACTAAAATACACATACACTTAAGTTGTTTCTAGGTGGAATTCAGTGTGTCAGTACTGATTGCACTGAACCACTAAACTCCATAGACTATTGACATGGCTGGTTTTACAGCAGTGTATTTGAGATTAGGTCTTAGCCCTGGCTTTTTCTAAAAATAAATAGAAAATAGAATGGGAGCGTAAGGTTGTTATGCTATATTGCCTGGGATAAAAAAAAAATAAATTAAAAAAAAATAAATGTGGTATTGACCTAATCACATAGCTTTTTAAGTATTTCCTTTGATGCCTGTCTGCCATGGCAGAGTCTCTAGCCTTGGGTGTGGCTTACCTGAAGGTAGAGTTTTAAATAATTTTTGCTTGTAGCAATGAATTTCTCAGGAAGACTGATTTCTGATTGTGTTGGACCTGGAAACTTGATGCTGATGGCCATGAATCACTGCAGAAACCAACTTAGGCTGAACTATAGTGTGAATGGAGAAGCTAGATAGGATAACATGATTAGTTTCATTACTCCAATGACACCTGTTTCTAGGAAGCTCCTGAGCTGCGATGAAATAAAGTCTGGGTGCTCATATGAAACATAACATCAGTTTGCATCGTAAGGCATCAAAAGCTCACTTTCTCTTAGCAATGGGGAGAGGCTGGTATTGTGGTATAGGCAGAGGATGCTGAAGTGCACTTGGTGAAAGGCAGAAGTCCAGTGGTTTGTCTGTTGACTGTTTTCATAATGCCTTATCACAGAAGAGGCACAACCCTTTATTATGTTATGAGTTGGGTTTCTCTCATTAGGATTTCTCATTACCCGTGGCTATTTTTTCCTTGGCAGCATCCAGTATATTGGTTGTATTTTCTGCTTGAAAGCATCTCCCATGCTAGGCTGAAGCAGCAGGTTTTAGTGGCAGTACTTGAAGTGATTCCCATAAAGCCCCATGAAAATGAAGGACTTTGATATTTTCACACTGGTGGATTAAGTTGATAAATGTTTGTTGTGCTGAAAAATAAGGTGCCACTGCTCTGAGCTTTTAGCTGAGTGAAACAACAACAATAAAAAAATCTTTCCCAGCTGAAGCAGAAAAAATTCATCCTGGCTCTCCTGGGGATCAACTTTAGCATGAGGAGAGGAGGGGTAGACCTCATGTGCCCAAAGCATATTGGAGAATCATGTGCATTTGATGTATAAACCGTGTGGGATGAGATGTTAATCACAGGACTCACATGATACTTGCACAATTGAGTGGGCATGTTCAGAAAAGGAACTGCCACATGCAGTGCAGTGGGGGTTTGCCTGTTACTGGGGAATGCAGGTCCAGGAGGTGATAAAATTTTGCATTTTATTTTCTTTTTAAATATTTTTTTTTGTTTGTTTTGTTTTTTGTTTTATGTTTTTTCCCTTGGTAGAAAAGAAAATAAGAAGGAAGCAAAGCAGTTGGAGGAGGGGGGAACTACATGTGAAAATAAGTGTATTGAAAGTTGAGTGCCATGACAAACACTTGGGAGAATTGATCAGATTGATGAATGTGTTAAACAACGGGCTCTGGACAGTGGGATCAGGAAGTTACATGTTTTGTATGAATGTTACAACATCAGTACAATAAATTGGTTGTCATTAGTACTTAAAACTGCAATAGTCATTCACCTATGTTGGAAGTGATAACTAACTTGAATTCATATTCCAAAACTTGCATGCAATTTATAAATCTCCTAGGGGATGTTGAAATCATGTTGGAAATTTAAATTAACCCCTGTCATTATCAACAACTTTTACTATCCTTTTCCACTCTGTATTCAAGCTTGGAGAAAACTAAGTTTTCAAGCTGCTTTTAAATGACAATGAAAACAATGTATGTGTACAGTGCATCTTTCAGTAATTGCCTTTTCAAATTGATTTTTATGATTTTTCATGAGTAGAAAGTATGTACTCTGTAACAAAGCAGCTTATTCACACTGCCTCTCTGTAAGAACATACCTAGCTGGTTTCCTCCAACTCCCTTCCTCCCTTTTCAGTGGGAAGCATTAAGCAGGACCTGGCACCCAGCTTCTGCAGCACCCTCCAGCGACCTCCAGCTGATGTGCCTGCTTACCCTGTCTCCATTTAACCTCCCCATTCATATCCATGAAGAGCCCAGGGCCTATTCCACAACAGGACTGTATGGAGAAACTCCATATGTTCCCCAAATGGCTGCTTATTAATTGCATTTTAATACTTACATTTATAATGAGCCTTTTCAAATCGATGGAAAGGCTCTCACTGCTTTGAGGTGGCTGGAGTGGGACAGACTGGATTGAGACAAACTGCTAGTAATGGAGCCTTATGCCTGTATTTGTAGCCAAATTCTGCTTGGGGTTGCCAAAGTGAAATGTGATGCAAACTGGAAATAACTCTGTTTGCGCAATGACACGTTTTATGCTCTTGCTGGTCAGAGTGGCCTGGTGGCAGCAGGAGAGGCTGTGGGTTGGTGTGGAGTCTTCACCTTTCTTAGGTTAGCATGGCAGTAGTACCCAGCAGATTGAGCATTTGTTGGACATAAAGGAAAAAATGTTAATCTGTGGCCTCATATGGTGTATATTACCAAGTATATTTGGTGTAAAGTAGTGACCCTAATTACAGATGCTTTGTGGAACATAGGCAAGAGTAAAGTCCTGTGAGCTATTTCAGCTGTCTCGTTTCCTAACCTGAGTCTTTACCTGGGAGCTTTATTGAGGAATTTTAGTTCCTTTGTATTTTGTCTGTTCTCAGTATCTGGTTATGTGTATGCCTATGTATGTGTATGTAATTGCATTTAATTAGCTAGAATTCTTCCTTAATTTTTATTTTTCTGAAGGTATGTGTAGTTAAAGTTATAGCTAGGTAGTGATTTTTATGTGCTGCTTGTTCTTTGTGGCTCAAATTTCATTAACCATGTGATCTTTCTTAACTGTCCATAAAATAAGTTGATAATATTTAGTTATCACAGTGCAACATACATAATGAACACCCTTTCTCCTCTTCAAACATTGGGACTAAAAATGAGTTTTCCAGTCAGCTCTGAAAACAAACAAGTTTAAACTTAGTTGGAGCTACTGATAAATAAATCAATAATTTCTGTTTGTGGTTCATACTTTTATATAAAACTTACTGAAATGTGTGTGTCTGATTTGAATTTTTTTTCAGTGTGATTATTATTCTGGACGGTGTGCATGTGCATGTAGATGTGGTAGGGTCTCATAGGGTTTTTTATGTTAAAAAAGCATATATACATACATATAGATGTAGTTGTATGTATGTGCATGTATGTGTGCATGTATGCATAGTAATATACATAAAATATGCATAAAAGTGTGTAAACACTCACACACATGTAAAAATACAATCCCAAACTGGTGTATGTGCTTGTGTGTGTGTGTCTAGTGTTCTCCCTTTCTGTTTTATTGCATATATAGTGGCTAGTTATTACATATCTTTTCTTTTTAATTACAAATGTAATAATTAATTTTGATGTGACACTTCACAGTGCAGTTTTTATTTCTTGATCAACTATTTCCTGTTTTCTCTTCTCTGTCACAGGGTGAAAGAATGATGTGATGGAGGTGAATATGGGCCGCTGGTCAGGCTCACGGCCACCTCCGTCATGCCTTGCCCTTCTGATTGTCAAGGTCCTGGCCTCTGTTTGCCAGGTAGTTCATGGGACCTCCCTTCTTGGCTTTCAGTTTACACATTCCACTTACAATGCTACAGTGTACGAGAATTCTGCAGCCAGGACCTATGTCAACAGTCCCACAAGGATGGGCATTACCTTGGCTGACCTTTCATGGGATATCAAGTACAGGATAGTGTCTGGTGATGACGAGGGCTTTTTTAAAGCAGAGGAAGTTGTCATTGCTGACTTTTGCTTCCTAAGAATAAGGACTAAAGGTGGGAATTCTGCTATATTGAACAGAGAAATCCAGGACAACTATTTATTGATGGTGAAAGGGTCTGTCAGAGGAGAGGACTTGGAAGCATGGACAAAAGTGAACATCCAGGTTTTGGATATGAATGACTTAAGACCTTTGTTTTCACCAACCACATACTCTGTCACAATAGCAGAAAGCACTCCTCTAAGGACTAGCATTGCACAGGTGACTGCAACAGATGCGGATATTGGGTCCAATGGTGAATTTTATTATTACTTCAAAAACAAAGTTGATCTCTTCTCAGTGCATCCTACAAGTGGTGTTATCTCCTTAAGTGGCCGGTTAAACTACGATGAGAAAAACAGATATGATCTTGAGATTTTGGCTGTGGACCGTGGGATGAAGCTTTATGGAAACAATGGTGTAAGCAGCACTGCCAAGCTTTATGTTCATATTGAACGTATAAATGAACATGCCCCAACAATAAACGTAGTAACCCATATTCCCTTTCTATCAGACAAAGAGCCTACCTATGCAGTCGTTAACATTGATGACCTAGATGAAGGAGCCAATGGAGAAATAGAATCTGTTTCTATTGTGGCTGGAGATCCACTAGAACAGTTCTTTCTCACTAAAGAAGGTAAATGGATGAATGAGTACAAAATCAAAGAAAGAAAGCCTATTGATTGGGACAGCTTCCCCTACGGTTATAACCTGACTCTCCAAGCGAAAGACAAAGGATCTCCTCAGAAATTTTCTGCTGTCAAACTGGTCCACATTGCTAGTCCAAAGAAAGAAAGTATCCCCATTAAGTTTGAAAAGGAAGCATATGATGTTGTGATCAGTGAATTTTCACCTCCTGGTGTGGTGGTTGCAGTAGTTAAGCTGATGCCTGAGCCACAGGGTGTGGAATATAGAATATCTCCGAGTGAGGGAGCGGAGTATTTTAAGATCAATCCGAACACAGGCCTTATTATTACTGCTCGTCCTTTGAAAATCATTGAGAAGGACCTCTATGAATTAGAAGTATACACAAACAAAGGTGGTGATTTAAAAGCACAGGTTACTGTCAGGTTAGAAGATGCCAACGATCATACTCCAGAATTCCAGCAGCCCTCCTACAACTCATTCATCAATGAGAGTGTCCCTGTGGGATCTAGCGTTTTGGCAGTTTCAGCAGTGGATGAGGACAGGGGAGAAAATGGATACATAACATACAGCATTGCCAGTCTGAACTCACTGCCTTTTACAATAAATCAGTTTACAGGTATCATCAGCACATCAGAAGAACTGGATTTTGAGTCCTCACCAGAAAGCTACAGGTTCATTGTGAGAGCTTCCGACTGGGGTTCTCCGTACCGCCACGAAAGCGAGGTGAATGTCACCATATACATAGGCAACGTCAATGATAACAAACCCCTCTTTGAAAAGGTGGCATGTCAGGGAGTGATTTCTTCTGATTTTCCTGTTGGTGGTCACATCACTGCTGTTTCTGCAATAGACATAGATGAGTTAGAGCTTGTGAAATATAAAATAATCTCTGGAAATGAACTTGGCATTTTTTATTTAAATCCTGACTCAGGTGTCCTGCAACTTAAAAAATCTTTAGTTAATTCTGGCATAAAGAACAGCAATTTTGCCCTTAAGATAACAGCAACGGATGGAGAGAACTTCGCTGATGCTATGTTTGTTAATATTTCGGTAGTTCATGGGAAAGTGTCTTCAAAGACCTTTAGCTGTAGAGAAACTAGAGTTGCTCAGAAGCTAGCAGAAAAATTACTCAAAAAGGCAAAAGCAAATGTGAAGCTGAATTTGGAAGATGGTTTTTTTGATTTTTATTCGGTGAATAGGCAGGCACCGCATTTTGACAAATCCTTCCCTACTGATATAAAGGTTTCAGAGGATCTGCCTGTTGATGCCAGCATCCTGAGGATAAAAGCCTATGATGGAGACTCAGGCTTTAATGGAAGAGTACTTTATACAATTTCTGATGGTAATGTGGATAGTTGTTTCAACATTGATATGGAGACAGGGGTACTTAATGTTCTTATGCCTTTGGACCGTGAAAAAACAGAGCTTTATCTCCTTAATATTACAATTTATGATCTAGGTAATCCTCAGAAATCTGCGTGGAGACTGTTGACTGTCACTGTGGAGGATGCAAATGATAACAAGCCTGTTTTTTTACAAGACAGTTACTCAGTTAGTATTTTAGAAAGTACAAGTCTTGGTACAGAAATTATCCAGGTAGAAGCCAGGGATAAAGACCTGGGATCTAATGGTGAAGTGACTTACTCAGTACTGACAGACACCCAACAATTTGCAATCAACAGTTCTACAGGAATGGTGTATGTGGCTGATCAACTAGACCGGGAATCAAAAGCAAACTACACGCTGAAGATCGAGGCTAGGGACAAAGCAGAGAGTGGCCATCAGCAGTTTTCAGTTGTGCCTCTGAAGGTGTTTTTGGATGATGTCAATGATTGCTCTCCAGCCTTTATACCATCCAGCTACAGTGTGAAGGTCCTTGAGGACTTGCCAGTTGGCACTGTCATAGCTTGGTTGGAAACTCACGATCCAGATCTCGGCTTGGGAGGCCAAGTCCGTTACTCCCTGGTGAACGATTACAATGGACGGTTTGAGATAGACAAGGCGAGCGGCGCCATCCGCTTGAACAAGGAGCTGGATTATGAAAAGCAGCAGTTCTACAACCTGACTGTGCGTGCCAAGGACAAGGGGCGCCCAGTTTCTCTCTCTTCTGTTTCTTTTGTGGAAGTCGAAGTGGTGGATGTTAACGAAAATCTCTATACCCCCTATTTTTCTGACTTTGCTGTCATTGGATCTGTAAAGGAAAACTCCCGCATTGGTACAAGTGTTTTGCAAGTTGTTGCTCAAGATGAGGACTCTGGAAGGGATGGAGAGATCCAGTATTCCATCAGGGATGGCAGCGGCCTGGGGAGATTCAGCATAGATGAAGAAACTGGTGAGTTATGTTTCTAATTTCCTCTTGCCTTTGTAGAGATTTTTACAAAAGTAAAGCTTTAGGCATAATTATTTTCTACCCTTAACAAGAAGTAGTACTTATCAACTGGCAAGATAAAATTATAAATAAGGATTTTCCAGGCACAGCAATGATGTGATTTCATTACCTGGTTACATTCATCACTCCACGGGTGCAAAATAATACACATTCTTTTTCAGCAGCTATGTGATGACTCCATTTAGAAAGCAGTGATAGTTACGGAATTACTTGTTTCCAGTCACTCTATTGTCTGTTGATCATTGTAAATTACTCAGGTCACCTCCACAGAGTCAAAACACTTGTGACCTTGAATGCAGTGTTGCACCCAATGAAAGGAAATAAGGAGCATGAAACCAAAATTATTTCATTCTAAAACCTATTTGTGGTCTTGTTCTTATTGTTGGAAGTAATTTTTCATGGGAGTTAGCAGTCTGGGATGATATGCCATTCTGTATAATATGGTTTCTTGTAGCCCAGTGTTCATCAACATTGTCATGGTTGTGTAGATAGAAATAGAGGGGAAGATGCTTAACTGTAAACCAGCTGTGCTCTCTCCTTTGATGGCAGTAGTATTATGGACACTGATGTTAGAAAAGAGTATTCATAGAGTGAAGATTTTTAAGATGTTGAACTTCACTACCACACCACCCTATTGGAAAATGTGGAAAATACTAAATATAAAAGGCTGTCTGGTAAAACACTTAACAAACTTACTGTTTAAGTGTTTGATAGCTGTTGGGAGTAATGGTGCAGCTGTGGTACTAGAAGTAGTGAGGAAATTAGGAAATATTAGTCAACAGTTTCAGAAATACATTAAATACGTTAGGTCTGTGGGTTTACTGTGGTTTAAACAGACTTTGAATGTCTTTCTAAAGCTTTTAATTGAGAATGTGGTATTAAAACATAAGATTTGAATGTATGTTTTGGCAAATTCAAACTGTTTAATCAAATGTCAACTTTCTGAGCTGAACATTATGAAAAACAGACGACATTACAAATGCTGTGGATCGTGTCTGAGCATAAGCAGTGAAAAATATTTTTACTTTATTTGTGCTATAGTCTCTCTGCTGCAGCTGTGCACAGATGACACAGTCAAAATCTTGTGTCCAGAAACATCAAACTTGAGTGTCAAAAGTCAAGATGGCACCTGCTCTAATTTCCAGGCACATTAAGAACTGACATATCCTACAGGGCTAATAGCAGTTGAAGGCATTTGGGTATCCCTATTTAGTGATACAGTGAACACGAATTTCAGTTCCATTTGAAAATTTGGACCTACCAGCTTGTTGAGCAGTATCAACTTCAGATAAATGAGTTCTTTATTTGGAATAGAATTTAGTCAAATGGAAAGTTGGTCCAAATGCTGCAGTATTGCTCTGAAAATCTCAGGATTCATTTGAATCATAGAGTCATAGACTGGATGGGCTTAGAAGGCACTTTTCAAGGTCATCTGGTCCAGCCTTCCTTGCAGTGCGCAGGGACCTTTTTGTCTAGATCAGGTTGCTCAGAGCCTGGTCAAGCTTGACCTTGAATGTTTCCAGGGATGGGGCCTCCACCACCTCTCTGGGCAACCTGTTCCAACCTGAATCTACCCTGCTCTAGTTTAGGGCCATTCCCCCTCATTCTATCAGTATCCACCCTTGTAAACAGTCCATTCCCAGCTTTTCTGTGGCCTCCCTTCAGGTACTGGAAGGCCACTATGAGGTCTCCCTGGAGCTTTCTCCTCTCTAGGATGAACAATCCCAGCCCTTTTAGCCGTCTTCATAGGAGAGAGGCTCCAGCCCTCTGATCATTTTTGTGGCCCTTCTCTGGACTCGTTCCAACAGGTCCATGTCCCTTTTATGTTGAGGACTCCAAAGCTGGACACAGTACTCCAGATGGGGTCTTAAGAGAGTGGAGTGAAGGGGCAGAATCACCTCCTTTGATCTGCTGGCCACGCTGCTTTTGATTCAGCCCAGGATGTGATTGGCCCTCTGGGCTGTGGGTGCACATGGTTTGGATGCAACATTTATTGAACTGAAAGGAAGTGACAGGGAGAGCAAGTTAGTGCCTGTTGCTCATTAATGAACTACTCAGTTTTTACCCCATGCCTAGAATA